GTCTTACTATGGATAAAAGGATGCATATGTAGTGGTTGGACTTTTGTTGTTGTTAACTTTGCTCAAATACAGAAATGTATGGTACTGACAAATACACCAGAAGGTCAGAAAAAGAAACTATTGCAAACTGATATCAGTGGATAGATGTTTTATGGAAGAAGCTGGAGTTTGAACTAGAACTTAATAAGGATGGATAGAATTTTAATTAGCGTGTAGAAGGAAGAATACTTTTCAGATAAAGTGAGGGAATGGGGGACAAGAAGAAGTGGAACTGGAAAGAGCAGCTTTAGAAGGTATGGAAAGACTAACATGACTGAGAAAGGTTGGAGAAGACTGGGAGATGAGGATTGACCAGGGTGGTGGGTAAAAAGCTTTGGGCCCTGTTTTAGGTGCTGATTTAGCCACCGACTCATGCAGTGTAAGACACTACCATTCAGAATTGGTTTCTACTTGTTTAAAAATAATTTTATTGTTTTAGGCAAGGAAAAATCCAAGTATGAAGGACTTTTTTCCCCCAAATATTAAGGACTTTAAATGATCTCATAAGGAATTGAGTCTGTAAGCAGAATGAGTATTCATTTTAGACTTAAATTTTTTTCATTAGTACATGTTTGTATATATAATGATTACATTTATTGTGGGGAATAGGTATATGTACACAACACATCTTGATTTTTTTTATCCCTTACCCCTCCTACCCCTCTTTGGTCCTTCCAAATCTTGTCTTCTTCCTATTTAAAAGCTCCATTTCCATTTTTCCTTCAATTCTTAGATCTCATTTCCCCCTCTCCCCCCTCCCTCCGTCTCTCGTTCCCCTTCCCATTTGAAAGAGACCTCCCCATTTCCTATTATCTGTCTTTTATGTCACTCTTTATTTATATCTTGGGTTTTTCATGTAAGAGAAACCATGTGGTATTTAAGCTTGTGGTCTGTTTCACTTAATATTATGGACTCAACATGTATCCATTTACCTACGAATGCCTCAAGTTTATTGCTCTTTATGGCAGAGTGGTACTCCATTGTGGATAAATACCACATTTTCTTTACTCATTCATCTGTTGATGGACATATTGGCCATTTCCAAGATTTATCTATTATAAATTGTACCACTCTAAATATGGGTATGCATATATGACGGTAACATGATAACTTTTAACTTTCTTTGTTTTGACCAAGACAATATGATGAGAAATAGCATTTTAGATAGATGTGGCTAGTTGTGAGATTGAAGAGAATTTAGCCCGTGAGATCAAAGTCTATTCTATTAAGCCATATATATAGTGATCAGAGACTAGACCAGGGTAGGGACCATGTAACTAGAAAGGAAAGGAAATACCTGAAGAATACTATATAGGACTTGTATATATATTTAATTAAATATAATATATAAAATATATAAACATTTATTATATATATACACACACACATATATATATATATATGAAAGAGGGCCAAAGAGGAGTACAAAATTTTAAATTTTAATGACTAGAAAAATTGAGCGAAATGTGAAAATTGCAAGGAGAATAGGTTTGGGGGAAAATGAAAATGATAATGAATTTGGGTTGGGACAGTTAAGTTGAGCTATCAGTGAACGTCCAGAATGCCTAGTAACAATACAAAAATATGGGAGTAGAGCTTAATTGAACCTTAGCTTGCACTTCTTTTTTTAATTTCATCCCTTTTGGTGCAGATATAGGATAGGACCTACCTGAGCCACTCCAAAAATGAAACATAGTGATTAAGAACAGATTCTTGAATTATAATTGGTTGTGTTCAAATACTGACTTCTTATTTTTTTTCTCTCTCTATTTGAAAAATATATATTTATATATAAAAAAAAGATTCAGGTTGTTTGCATGTAAAACATCCATCGGTAGGTTTCTTTTGTCTTTGACTCCATGTTGCTGGAAAAAGTTTGACCAAGCTTGCATGCTAATTTGTCCTTAGTTGCAAATATTATAGGCAATTTCATACTTTGCCTAATGAAAGGATAACCCTCCTTCAACATAATCAGAACAGTGATTCAGAAGCAACATCCTGTCCTTAATACTGTCAGTTTCGAGCCATCAACACGAAAATCCTTGATAATGTTGAGATGTTGCTAGGAATCAATTAATGTAGCTAAGAGTTCTGCAATACTATTTTGCTTAAGTTTTTTTTTTTTTTGTACCATTGATTGATATTTTAAAAATCCATGTTTCTTTCCTTTGTCCAAAGTGTTCTAGGTAATGAAACTGACTCTTTTGAGACTGTCATTTTGAATTTCCTTTTTCATCTTGTAGGATGCCTGCATATCCCCTTCTTTTTTTTGTGTTTTCTTTTTTGCCTCAAATTTATTAAAAGCATTGTTTTGTCATAGATTCATACGCAGGCACTCTGGCCATTTGGAGATCATGGGAAAAGCTTGTTTTTCATATGGCCCAGAGTTCGGCTGCCGTATTGGAAGTGGTGCTGATGCTTCCGCACTCATGGTCACATCCATCTGCTCTGTTCCACTTGTTTCCATTGGGTATTCCACAGGCGTCTGGGGATTTGCCGTGCTGGCTGAAGCACCTCTTCCCCAGAAATCCCCAGGAGAAAATTTGACTGGGCTTTAAGACAAGGAAGAGCTATCATTCGTCTCAATGATCATCTCAACAAAAAAAAGTATTTCCCATTTATTTAAAAGGAAGAGAGCCATATATATTTTTTCATTTAAATTTATTTTCAAGTGGATTGGGACAAAGGCAAAAAGGTTGAGCCATCTCTCCCCCAGAATAACTGCCAGAATGTCTTAACTAGCCTCTTTACCTCTACATTCAACTCCTAAAATCCTAAAAGTTACATATTTTAAGTCATTTTGTCCCCACACTTAAAACAGGTTCCCACTACATTTAAAATAAGATACTTTTTCAAACTTCTGCCATTTTTCTTCTCACTTCAGCTCATTCCAGGAACACTGACATGCCTTTCAATTTCAAGGAAAGGCCAAGTTTTTTCCTCCCTAAGGGCTTCTGTTCCTGCCGTTCTTCAGCCTGCAACATTTGTGAACTTCCTATATTTTTGCACAGATGCTCTTTCCTATGACCAGAAGGAGCAGAAGCTCCTTTATTTTCCTTTGCTTTCTACTGCCACTTTAGTAGGGATTGAACCCAGGGTCTTACAACCACTGAGCTACAGCCACAGTCTCTTCCCTTCACTTTTTTTTTCTTAAGACAGGATTTTGTTAAATTGTTCAGGCTGGCTTCAATCTTCTTGCCTCAGCCTTGCAAGTGGGTGGAATTACAGGCATATTTTACCACACCCAGCTTTTTTTTCTTTTCAGTATAGCACTTAGCACTGCTTGTAGTTGTGCATATTCACATCTTTATTGTGACTCTTTCCCACTAAATTATAAGCTTACTCAGGTCAGGGGGAATTTCTACACTATGTGTACTATGCATGTATCATCATATAAGATGCAGCATGTAGCACAGCCCCTAGTGCACAATAAATGTTGAGTGAATGGATAAAGAGAGCATTTGCCTGTGCAGCAACTTACTTTTCAGAGGGAAGGTAAACTATATAACCTATGTTAGATTAGTCACAGACTAGTCCTTTGTAATACAAGAAAATGTAGATGCTGTGCTTACATTCACCAAGAAGAATACGACAGATCTTTCACTCATGTAACTTGGCATAAATGTCTTAAGCAGTTGTCTTCTAGATTTATTTTTAAAAAGACCAAGAATAACAGAGTCTGAAATTCCTGACAGGTGTTCATGGGCTGCCAATAAATCTTTGTGGTGATCGGATTTTTGGTTCAAATGAAAACTTTTCTTTTACACTTTCAAGTACAGATGGAGCCACATATGTAAAACCCAGAAAGACCTGGTTGGCACTTTTCACTGAGAGTTGAGTCATCTGGGCTATCAACAGGTGTCTGACTTGTAAACTTTGAATCAAACTGACTCACATCCTCTTCAGATTGCAACAGAGGTTTAAAGGGGGGTTTCACCTTCCGAGCCAGAAGTTCTTCCCAGTTAATGTGTCTGAAGAATGGATGAGCTTGAACTTCTCCAGTGTCCCCGGGACCAGCTCCAAGACGAGAAGCAGCGTTTCTTTTCAGCAGCTTTTTAAGCAGACCTCTGGCTTCTTGTGTGAGGTAGGGAGGTAAATTAAACTTACATTTGAGGATTTTGTCAATTGTTTTCTTTCTATTCTCCCCAGTGAATGGAGGCATAACACATGCAGCTTTTAACTGTGCACCTACTGCTCCAGTCAGCATGTCATACATTAATGCTCCCAAACTCCACCAATGCACAGCACGATTGTGGACACTTCTCATCAAGATTTCAGGGGCCATGTATTCTATTGTTCCACAAAATGTATGTGTGACTCTTCCATCATGAATAGATTCTTTACATAGTCCAAAGTCTGTTAATTTCACGTGACCTTGGTGATTAAGCATGATATTCTCCGGCTTCAGGTCTCTGTAGATGATCCCCTTTTGATGTAAATGCTGCCCCAAAGCCATGGAGATTTCTGCCAAGTAAAAGCAGGCTGTATCTTCCATAAATATCCCCTCTCTTTCTAACTGCATAAATAGTCCTCCTCCGCTGAGATACTCAAGGATGAGGTAGAGTTTTCCACCAGTCTGAAAGGCATAAATTAAATCCACAATGAAGGGATGCTTTACTTCCTCCAGAATATTCCGTTCTGCTTTTGTATGAGCTGTATCTTTAGCATTTCTTACTATCATTGCCTTTTTAAGCACCTTCATGGCAAATATTTTCACAGTATTTGCTCCTGTTACTTTTCGCACTTGAAAAACCATTCCATAGCCCCCTTTACCAAGTACCCGGAGTAGTTCAAAACATTCTGGTCTGATTTTTTCTGGCCCTCTGTTCACACTAGTTTCTGAGATTTCGAATTTCCCACCATGTTCCATGCCAAGTTGGTATGGTCCAACTCCCCCATGGTCCATGCTTTCCTTTAACTGACCCCCCTCCTCCAGCTCATCCTCAGAGCCTGCGTCCTCTGGCTAGTCTAGGTCTATGTCAGACACTCCTGCCATGTCCTTAGCTTCCCTGTCTCGGAAGTCAGGCGCTGGGTAAAAGCCGTCCCACCTCCGTCATCGCCTCATGGGCCCGGACCTGCCGCAGACACCGTCGCTGCTGCCGCCATCAACGGCTGCTTTGGCTCAGTGCGTCCACTGGCTTCTTGATTACTTATCTTTGTGACCTCTGGCAGGTGCCTGACTTTTCTGGGTTTTCTCATTTATGAAATGAAGATAATAATAGTACCCATATCCAATGGCTATTAAGATTAAATAGGATGAAGCACATAAAGAGCTTAGAATATTTCCTGGCCCATAGTAAAGACATGTTAAATTCAAGTTATTATTGTTATCTAGCCTTTGGAGGTTGCCTTAGATTTTCCCTCTCAGTATTTAATACAGCTTTGTGCCTGAGGTATTGCATCTTCTTTACTATATCGTTCATATACTTCACTGGCTAAACTGGATTTTACAGGATTTGCTGGTAAAAGTTTTAGGGATTCAAAATACGTGATCATTTTAAAAATTGGTTATTCTCTGTTGAAAACTTAGTGATTAAAATTTCTTTAGCAAATATATTGTGCTTTTTCCAGAACCATTCTTTCTTCTTTTTTGTACCTGGGATTGAACTCAGGTCCTTGTGCTTATGCAGCAGGCAGCAAAACCACTGAGCTAAATCCCTGACCCCAGAACCATTCTTTTTTAAAAATTAGTTTTATGGATACATTTTAGGTATACAATATAATGACATTCATCATTGGAAATTTGTACCTTTACATAATATATCTTGGTTCTTATTTTTTCCCTATTCCCCTGCCCAGCCTTCAATCCCTCCACCCCTCCCTATTTACAAAGACTTTTTTTCTATTTTTTCATTTTCTCATATTAATTTCATTCCCTTCTTTCCTGTCCCCTATCCCTCATACTTCCCCTTCCCCTTTGCCCCTTTTCTTCCTGTTTCACATTATCTGTTATACCTTTTGGTTTTCCAGAACCATTCTACCTCTCTGTGTCTCAGCTTCTTTCTATGGAGTAAATGATGGACATATGAGAATAAGTAAGTTTTTTTTTTTTTTTGGTACCGGGGATCGAACTCAGGTCCTTGCGCTTGCACAGCAGGCAGCAAAACCACTGAGCTAAATCCCCGGCCCCAAGAATAAGTAAGTTTTATACCTAGAAAAACTTGTTAATAGGCTGAGCCTACAGAAGGAGGTACCTTATTTTACACATGAGCTTGATGACTAGTGACCAAAACTTTACACACTTTTGAAAACATTCAAATGAGTTTAAACTATGTTAGAAGATTCTCTTATAGGGCTATATTATATAAGAAAATAATACTCCAGATTATTAGGAAATAAGGATACTAATCAGTACCTCATTATTTTCACTCAAGAGTCAAATGAGATAATGTTAAAGACATTAACAAATTCAAATAGACAGAGTAGTATGCTCTACTGAAGTGCAGGGCTGGAAAGTCAGTAGTAGCAAATAAATGTAGGAATTAATACACTCAGAGAGGATTAAGGCAAAATTGGTTTGTGTGTTTACAAAGATCAAACATGTAATGCAATCTTTCATATCTACTTGCCTAAGTATTTTTTTCTGCTATCAGGGCTTTTCATCAGTACTTCACGAAAAATTCAGTAAACTGTAGATTTAAAAATAATGTAGATATTAATGAAGAAAATGTCTTTGGAGGGTTCAACAATCAGCTCAGGTAACTTATTTTCTGGAGAAACTCTTTTTCTATATATGGGTAGTATCTTGCATTACAGAATTGGGGGTAAGACCAAAGTAATTTTATTTATTTATTTATTCATTCATTTATTTGTTTATTTATTTTTCTGGTACTAGGGATCAAACTCAGGTCCTTGCATTTGTGAGGCAGGTGCAGTGCCACGGAGCTAAATCCCTGATCCTGACCAAAATAATTTTAAATGAAACCTTAAAATTATTACTCTTGAGAACATATGAACTTAGTAAAAAGAGATGACTTTGATTTTATAGAGTTATCCAGCAGTTTGGGCTAGAGTCTAGGATTCTTGAAGGTTTTTTTTTCTTACTGCTTTATTCAGATATATTTAATCAGAATGTACCCATTAAAGTATAAAATTTAGTTTTTTCACATAGTCATAGAGTTATGCATCACTTCTCAATTTTAGAGCATTTTCATCACCGCCAAAAAAGAAACCTCAGACCATAAGCAGCAGCTCTTTGTTATCTCTCAGCCCTGTCCCCTCCTCCATCTCCCTCATGGACCTAATCAAGTAGAAGTCTACTTTTTTTTTTTTTTTTGGTATTGGGGATTGAACTCAGGACGTTGCACTTGCAAGGCAGACACTGTGCCACTGAGCTACATCCCTGGCCCAAGGAGTCTACTTTTTGTCTCAATACATTTGCCTAATCTGGATATTTTGTATGAATGGAATCACATAATATGTGACTTTTGTGTTTGGCTTCATTTACTTAGCATAATGTTTACAAGGTTCATCTGTGTTGTAGTATGCATCAGTTCTTCGTTCCCTTTTACAGCCCAGTAATACTTCATTGTGTGCATCATGTGCCATCTTTTGTTTATTCATCAGTTGATGGGCATTCAAGTTGTTCCCTCTTTTTAGCTATTGTAAATAATGCTTCTGTGAATATTAGTGTACAAGTTTTTGTGTGAATGTATGTTTTCATTTCTCTTGGGTGCATACCTAGGAATAGAATTATGGGTTTATATCATATATGTAGATTTAACTTTTTGAAGAATTGCAAATATTTTTCAAATGACTGCACCACTTTATGTTCCCACCAGCAACATATGAGCCTTAGTTTCTCCACATACTCTTCAAGACTTGTTATTATTTCAGACATTCTTTTAGACATCCTATGAATGTGAAGTTGTATCTTGTTATCCTTTTGATTGGCCTTTTTCTAATGATTACTGACTACTGATCCTTTTTTTCTTTTCTTTCAGTACTGGAGATTGAACCCAGGGCCTTCATATTGAGCTACATCCCAGATTCCAATCCCTTTAAAAAATATGTCATTTTGAGGCAGGGTCTCACTGATTCACTAAGTAACCCAGACTGGGTTTGAATTTATGATCCTCCTGCTTGAGCCTCCCAGAGTGCTAGGATTAATAGTCTTTTCATGTGCTTATTGGCCATTTGTATGTTTTTGAGAGTGCCTGTTCAAATCCTTTTCCCATTTTTCAATTGGGTTATCTTTTTACTGTTAAATCCTGAGTTATTTTTGTATTCTAGATACCAATCCTTTATCAGATACATGGTCTATAAATATTTTCTCCAATTTGTGGATTGTCAGTTCACTTTCTTGATGGTATCTTTGAAGTACAAAAGTTTTAAATTTGATGCAGTTTAATGTAATTATGTTTTCTTTTGTTATTTGTTCTTTTGGTGTCATGTCTGGTAAGACTTAGCCTAACTAATACTTCTTGAAGTGTTTTTAAATAAGATTTTCTTAACTCAAAGCTAAGTGATTTCTCAAAATACTGAATTCATTTACTCTAGGAAATTGTGAACCTAATATACTAATCAAAATAGGGACATATCATAGTCTACCTTTCATGTTATTATTGCTTAGTGTGTATTTTAACATTGTGCAAATGTCAAAATGTAATTTTCTTGCTGTGTCCTTTCAGCTGAATTGAACTCTTAAAATCTGTAGCTTTTATTTTTTTTATTTTTATTTTTATTTTTATTTTTTGGTACCGGGAATTGAACCTTGGGTCCTTGTGCTTGCGCAGCAGGTGGTGATGTAGCCTTTAACATAATTTAAGAAAAGAATTTTTGCTTTTTCTTGTGTGAAGATAGGATATTACTGTCATTTCTAGCAATATATTCATGCTTTTGACATGTAAATGCAATCATACTTTCTGCATTACAAATGTATACACATAACTGTTTTGTATTAGTTTTACTTTAACAAATTGTTTCTGAGAACACATAGTCCAGGTAGATTACTTTGTTAACTTTTTGGCTTTTCTGGGCTGTGCTTTTTCAGTGCGTAGATAGGGTAGTGTGGTCTAAGGGGTGCTAGAATCCTGGTCTTGGAAAAATAGTTGCTGTCTTTAGCTTTCCAAGAAAAAAATAACAGTTATTTTGCATTGATCTCTTCTCCCTAAGGAAGGACATCTTTCTCCCTGTACGTCAGTTATCCCGCTGAGCAATTTTGCCAAATATGAGAACTGAGACATGAAAAAGTCGTGTGAATTATCTAAGCATTGCTATTCACTATTCCGTGTATGACCTAAAGACGGACTGATCTGTCACCTATTTGTTACCAGTCTACCTGTAGCAAGCTAAGTAGGAAAGCTGGGAGTAAGCACTTAGAAACATTTATAACAGTTTGACATTCCTGCTTTACCCAAGTACGTAGTCATTTTCCCTAGTAATTCATGTTTATTGTTTTTTAACGTTTTGTTCTTATTGTTGTTTTTAACAAAAATATTGGCTTGTGGTATCTTGAGGCAAATGAAGTGAAGCATGGGCGACTACTATAGAAGCATTGATGTAGGATGAGAGAAAATTATTACAGTAGTCCCACAACTATTAACTTACAACTTTTGGGCTTTTTTTTGTTTTTTCCCCTTGGAGTTCTGTATTTTTATCTCTGTCTTCCTCTGTAGTCAGTCATGTTTTAAATTAAATATTAAGTTTTTCATCATGGAGAAACTTTAGGGACTTGAATTCCACATTTCTTGTCAAATATACTTTCAGGTTCCTATGTAATATTCACATATTTAATTATAATTTCCATATGAAAGTCAAGCCATGGAGAAGTCTCAAAGCTTTTCATTTGGAATACCTAGAGAAAGGGTAATGTAATTTGAATGTCATTTAGTTCCTTTTCATGCTTAAAATGAAGACATTTATAGTGGCATATTTAAAAGACTATCAGAAGAGTAGTTTTATCTCAGAGGTATGCATTTGCTTAATTTTGTGTAAATGTCTCTAAGAGCTCCTCCTCACTTTTTAATAGCAGTTGTGAGCTATTCTATTTTGAACATGCTCATCACTTTAACACTAAAGGAGATTAGTAAAAATAACACTTTAATATCAAAAAGTAGCAAAATAGCTTAATGTGGAGAAAAGAAATACACATATATTTCTCTCATTGACTAGGTCTTATTTTGGTATTGGTATCCTGGGATCTGTATTCTGGAATATGCTATAAACCTCTA